GTGCGCCACGAGTGTTCAAATATTCCCGCCAGTGGTTGCACAATGACATCAGCCAGTGCCTTCAGTACCCTCGGATGGAGCTCATCCGGGCCTGCCAACTTAAAGGCATCCAGTTCCTCCAAGTGACCCTGCACCATCTCAGGGTCTACGCTTGGTAGTCTGGCGCCTTGCTGCTGCCTCTCTACAACCCCAGTGAGAGACTTGTCGTGCCCCTCGCTTAGGAACACTGAGGCAAAGAACTCGTTGAGGAGTTCAGCCTTGTTCCCCCTGTCCGTCACCAATTGCTTCTGCCCATTTAGTAGGGGTCCTGTTCCACCCTGAGCCTTCCTTTTACTCCCTATATATCTAAAAAACAATTTTTTGTTATCCTTTACTTGGGATGCCATCCTCAGCTCCATGGTAGCTTTGGCCTGTCTAACTGCCTCCCTACATGTGCGAGCAGAGGAGGTATACTCCTCTTTGGTAATCTCTCCCCGTTTCCACTTTTTAAACGCTCCCCTTTTAGTCCGCAGTCTGCCCTGGATTTCTCTGGTCAGCCAAAGAAGCCTCCTGGCCCCTTTCCCTCTTTTTCCTCGTATCGGGATCGTCTCCCTCTGTGCCCGAAGGATCATTTCCTTAAGGTACAGCCACCCTTCCTGGGGTCCCATCTCTTCAAAACTCCTACTCTGCAGTGCGTCCTTGGAATACTGGCCACGGTCTTTTACATAAATGGAGATGAGACGGCAGTCAGAAGGATACAGGGCCTTTAAGATTGTATTTGTGATTCCAGAAGACAGAGAAACCGGGGCTCTGTTCTTTGGAAAGCTGACAAAAGGAAAACCCCAGTGATCTATTCCTTCCAAAAGGACTAGGGCAGTGAGAATGGGTCCAAGCCTTCTTCCAGTTATGGATGTATGTATGTCTAGTAGAGCTACATCAGCTTCTGCAGGGTTACTCCAGACTTACAGTAATGTAACTAGCAGCTGATGTATTGTATTGTATTTTATTTTACTTTATTTTTTTCTATTCCCTCCCCCCCAGGTATGTAAAGGAGAGAGATCCAAGACAGGGTCCATTGTCTTACCTATTTCTGCCCTCTCCTTGTAGTAGCTGTGCACTTCCACAAGTACTGATTTTATTCTCACAGGGTGCCCATGAAATAGAAAATTAGTACCCCTACTTCACAGAAGTGAAAACGGAGGCACAGGGAAAGAAAATGACTTGCTGAAGATCTCATAAGAAGCCTGTGGCAGGCAAAGCAGGCATTGAAATATGGTTAAGTCTTTTTCTACTGTTTTACATACAAAACCCTCCCTCCTCTTCACTTCCTCCACCAACAGGACAAGCAGGAGAGCTGAGGACTTAAAGCTAGTGGAGAGGGGGAGATGGCTGGCTTTCTTCTCACCAGTGTAAACTGGGGTAGCTGTTGAAATCAGTGGTACTATTCTAGTGTCATATTGATGACAAGATGGGGGGGGGGGATGTGAAGCTATTTAAGTTGGATTTCATCACATGGAATATCTGTTAAAAGGCATAAAGGGTCAGATTTTCAGAAGAATTCATTCAGGCACTGAAATGAAATGATCAAGCTTCCAGAAGTGGGCGGCACTCAGCAGCTCTTAGCGAGATGCATAGGAAGAGTCGAATGCTTGAAAATCTGGCCACAAACTTACAAGGTCAACAACAGATGCAATGTGCCTGCCTGCCTTAAACCAAACCAAACAAAGCAAGAGTGAAGCATTTGAATGGGGAAGGGGAAAAAAAAAAAGCTTGTGGGATGTGGCTGCAGAGTCAGCATCAGGAAATGGATGTAGATGGACTTCTTTCCTTCCCTAAAATTTCCTGTACTCTAATCACTTCACCAGCTTGGTGAGTTGGTTTGGAAAGGAGCTGAGGGTGCTGTTGACCTCACAGTAGTTCCTGGCTCAGACTAGTTTAGTCAGTCAGGAGGAGTCCTAGGTGGAGGCAAGCCCTTTGGTGTGATTGATTTTGTTGCAGATGGATCATATGCCGTATCCATGTTTGAGCAATGCAGTCTCCTTTGAATCCCAAATGCAGGGCTTGAATGATTCACTGACAGACCCAACCCCCTTTAGGGTAATGCTGCACGCTGTCAAAGGAGGCACTTGGTTTTCCAGCCTTTGCTCTGATTTCTCCCTCCTTTTTTGGGTTTGGCTAAACCTGGATTTTGTCCTCGAAATCCAGATTGTTACTCTAGGAATGTAGGAAGTGTTGCTTGTTAGACTGAAACAGAAATGCTGCACATTTAACAAAGGAAATCCCTGGGGCAGGGGGCTCTCAGGCCTCCCTAGCGGTCTAGATGGTGTGGGCGATCCACTTCTCCTCAATGCTTTGAGGAAGATTTAAAGCGTAAGTAGAACTCCACGGATATCGGCGGACTACAAATCCCTTTGGAGAGTTTTACAAAACTGCCCAGGGGATTTAGGAGTACGCATCCCATTGACTTTCAAAAGACACTCGTGCTTTAATTCCTTTAGATGCTTTTGAAACTCTCCTCCCTAACCTTTTAGAGCATGTCTACACGTGCACTTTAATGTACAGTAGCCTATTTTACTGTGCATTAAAGCATCTCATAAAAACCATGCAAATATGCTAATGTGCAGTAAAATAGGTTACTGTGCATTTAAGTATCACTTAGAAGCATGCACTTTCTCTACTGTGCATTAGGGCAGCCTGATGTGCATTTATTTAGTACCTCACATTTTAGGTACTAAATTTAACATGCATTAGAAAAATGCATTAATGCACATATATATGTGCCTTTATTGTCTTTTGGGGGAAAAGGAAGTTTTTCCATTGCCTTGAACTTTGTTGCCTCCTTTCTCTGGCAAAAATTCTTGGCTACAGACTCTCCTGAACACTTCTGAAGGTAGCAAAGCCATGAAAAGTTTGAAGGAAGGAAGCTATCACTCATGAGACGTTTCCCACTCCATTTCAGGGACTTCCTGCCTCGTGGTTCTGGCATTGTCACAAGACGCCCACTGGTCCTGCAGCTGGGAAACTCCAACACAGGTATGTGAGTCGCCTTCTTTCCCACCCCAACCTCAGCACATCGCTCATAGAGATGGAGCAAGGGTCCAGCCTTCCATCTCTGCAGCTCTCTAAAGCCATTAACTTTTACTTCACTATTATATCCAAGAGGGGGAAAAAAGAGTCACTTTCAGCACTTCTCATACATATTATGAATGATCTCTAGAAATATTACCAGAGTACATGGAATGTCTTGTGCTCTTTGGATGGGCTGCATGAGACAGTTTAGGAGCGATCAGTCCATTTTTTGGGTCTACTTTACAAAACTTGGTGTCTTAGCTGCCAGCAACTGACAAATGTGTTGGCAATTTCAAGAGAGTGCCCAGGGACTGGATAGCCAGACTTCTCTCTCATGTCCAAAAATTATCCTTCCCCCTTAAACTAGAGATTTGCTGGCAGAACCTTGACCTGCTGCTCTCTGCATTATAACTTTCTGTGGATAAGCAGAAGATACTGGTTTCCAAAGTGGTTGATGCATCAATTGTTGCCTGCACTAAACTTGCAAATAGCCAGATGGTGATGCTCGCACTCAGTGTGAGTACTGCTTAGTCCAGGAACAATCCTGCTGCAATGAGTGGTAAGACTCTATGGGAAAGAATGAATCAGAATTTGTCCCAAGAAAAAGAGTGCTACATTTAGCCAGTTTTCACATTGCTCTATGTAAAATCTATCAAGTATTAAATATTCAGGGACATAGTGATTCATGTCACTGTGTGTGTGGACTTTAGTAGGCAAAGTTTCACAAAATGCCTTTAAGCTTTCCCTTGTCAATAGAGTCATGATTTTATTGTGTGGATGGGACCTAGAAGAAGACTGAAGTACCCTTCCAATATCATTTTAATTGGAATTATGGCTATTATAATAATTCTAATTTGTTGAGACCAGGTATCAGAACATCAATTATGGAAAAATAGATGAACAGTGAGAAAATCCAGTGGTTCTGGTTTGTGGTGTGTTTATTAGTGTCAGCGGTGGGAAGACCTAGGAAGGACTTAAACTTTGGCACGAACATCTATCGGTTTCCCAAGTCTGTGTCACCGGGAGAAGATGCCTCTGATCAGTTAGGTGTTCATATTTGGTATTGCACACACAGTCAACTTCTCTAGCCCTTAGTGACTATTCAGCTATGCCATTCATCTGCATGCATTTACAAGTCCTTGGCATGAATGGCCTAGGAAACAAGTAATAGGATAGACTGGGAGACTTTCACATCCAAATACAGGTGGGTAGCGACCAAAACCTTCATGATGGAGATCCCACAATTTTTCTAAATAGCCTATTCCTAGGTAGTTTTATAGTAAATCATTTCTCCCCCTAAAATCTATTTTGATTTACAAATTAATCTTATTGTTTTTTGTCCTGTCTGCAGTGGGCATGGAGAAAAAAATTGTCTTTGTTCTCTTTGTAACATCCTTTCACATACTGAAAAACTGCTATCATGTTCTCCTCTTAATCTTTTCTTTCTTGGATTGAAATGCAATTCTTTCAACATATCCTCAGAGGTCATGTTTTCTGAACATCTTATTCGTGTTGCTTTCCTACAAACCCTCTTTAATTTGTTTAAATATTTCTTGTAGTATTGGACCTCCAATTGTACCCAGTACTTTAGCCTTATCAGTGCCAAATAGTTATTCTGCTCTGTCCCCTGTGACTTGGGTACAACGCTGCCAGTAATTGCAGATTGGTATTTGCATTTTTCCAACAGCATCCCATTACTGACTTCTGTTCATTTTTGCAATCCACTATAACCCCTAGTTCCTCTTTGGCAGTGCTGCTGTCTAATCAGTTATTTGCCATTTTGTATTTGTACATCTGATTTTTTTTTTTTTTTTCCTTCTTCCTGAGTATCCTCCCAGTTGACAGCAAACTACTCTCCAAATGAAGTTTTCAAACCAGTTCTATTCCCACTATTCAGTGATAGGTTGTTTTTTTTTCTAGAACATATTTCTGTAGCTTGCTTTTGAGTGCACCATGTAAGATGGTATCAAAATCTAACCTCAAGTCAAGATATATGTTGCATTTCCTTCCACCCTCTTGTCTATTAGGCCAGTTATCCTGTCAAAGAAGGAAATCAGATTGTTTAACATGGCCTTGTTCTTAACACTGGTTTTCAATCTATGGTCCCTGGACACCTGGGGGGTCTGTAGACTATATCTAAGGGATCCATGAAAGATTACTATGATCAATCAAATATGTGAATACACTTACAATTCAAAGGGGTCCACACCTTCATTTGCAATTTTTTAGGGTCCCCAAATGAAAAAAATGTTGAAAACCACTGTCTTAACAAATCTATGTCGTCTGTTTTGTTTTACATGTTTATAATTTTTTAGGTGCTTATAAGCTGATTGCTTGCCTTTTTTTTTTTTTAAGTCTGTCTTTCCAGGAATAAGTCAAACTAACTGCTCCATCATTCCCCAGGTCCTCCTTCCCCCCGCTTTTTAAAAAGAGGTAATATA